TCCAAATTTCCCTCTGAAGCAAAAATCTTTTATTTTTCAAAACTTTATGCAGTGCGCTAATTATTGGAAGGCAAAAGAGAACTTCTTTCTTATCGACAAATTTCATCGTGTCTTAAAGCCACAAAAATGCAAGGGATTAGCCAACAAAGAAACATCACGGAAAGAGATACTCAAAACAAAACAGTTATGTCTGCACTTTAATCCTTCAGCGATAATTTTGCCTAAGATATATTGGCTTTTTTGCATATTTCTCTTTTTGACCACTTCATAAAAGACTCTGCAGTTTGCAATGTAAACTATCTAGTAATATTTCAGAGATGCAGCCTGGGAAGGAGTGGATAATAACAAGTCCCTGCAGGAGAAATGGGAGAGGATGGGTCAGGGTGGTGGAAATCATCCAGTTATTACATGTACAGGTACTCCCTGCAGTGGACAAGAGCATACTTATATGCATCACAGGTTCTGTCATCAATGTGACAAAAAAGGATTAAAATATAAAATCTGGAATTCCATATTTTGAGTTTCTTAAAATATTTTTTTTCACTATCCACTAAGGAAATTTTTTGGGATCTCCATTTCCCAGAGTTTCAATGTTTTGGGGTTTGTGACATTTCAAGGTTTTGAAAGTCACATGAATGTGGGGTTTGTGACATTTCAAGGTTTTGAAAGTCACATGAAATAGAATTATGGCTGCTGCATAACTTTTTACATAAATTTTATTGAAACTGCAGATTATTTAATTTTAAATATTCTAATTCATAATTAGTTAAGACTAAATTTTTTCCATTCTAGGTACCAGCAAAACTTTCAGATATTTCTAAATGAAAATAGAAGGAAATACTGTTGGTTTTTTTCCCCACAATAAACTATTCTAGGAAATAGTTTGTCAAAAAGCTCTGATTTCTCAGGGCTTTGAAGTAAGATATTGGGATTTCTTGGGGAAGGGCAGTGACGCTGGTATCACATACAAATATGTGCCTCTTGGGCCAGTTTTCCAGGACAATCTTTTTACTATCTTGGCAGTGGCATTATTTTTTCTCTTTATGTTATTTATTGCAATGTCTTTTACCTTTCAAACCAAAACTGTGACCAGAAACAGACACGCAGCAGTGGAATGGAGCTGTGGGAGGGTTTCAGTGCCCCAGCCCTTCCGAAAAACTACCCCACTTTTACAAACAATTTTGATCCGTTTCCTCAGCACTGTCCATCCTCTACAACAGACAAGACAGAATCCTATCACAAAAATACCACAGGAGTATTATTAGTATTAGTATTATATTATTACTATTACTTCTTCTTATTACTATTCATATATAATAGTTGATTATTAGTATTATTTCACTTCAGGTACATAAAAGTATGCTTCTGAAGTCCCTCTACCATTTTACTTAGTTTCCAAGTAAGACCAAGAGCGAGCAGGAGAAATCCCAGCACAACCAGATTTTGTTTGAAAATTGCAACTTAAAAACACTAATCTGGTCGTACTTTTATTCCTGATTATGCTCAAACCTGAGTGAACATGATTCGTGATCAGCTGGCTGCCCGTGGGTGACTTCTTTGGTTATTCTCCAACTACAGGTAAACACCTGTATCATATTTGGGCAAAGAGTTTTAAAACCAGCTACTGATTATGTTTTCCTCAGCTGCGGGTGATCTCAGGTTTTTCTTGGGTGACTGTTCAGTGCACATTGAAAATACGGTGCCTCGATAAATGACAAAGAACATAAAAAAAAAAAACCCCAAAAAACCCTAAGCCATGCCACGCAAAATCATGAGACACTTGGAGAAATCTTGGCCTCAAGTTCTAAAGCTGTTCTCAAATTACTGTGTTATTCCAGCCCAGGGGAGGGAAGGTTGGACGTGTAAGAAGTGGGGCTTTTTTTCCAGGGGGAAATCTTTAACCTGCCATAGACCAGCATAAACCTACGTGTGACATGTCCCCCATCTGACACCCTTCAGACCAGGCTCCCCCAGCACCCCAGGGTATGTCCTGGTATGTCCAAAATGACCTTATGCTTTAGTGGGTCTCAATCAGAAGAAGCAAAAGGGAGATGCACTTCCCTGTGTAGCCCGAGCAGCGCAGAGGAGAAAGTCATCTGCAGAGCAAATCCACAGATTTGTGCTGATGTTCCCCACCCCATTATTTCAACTTCCTTTTTCAAACATGAATGAAAAAATGAATGTACTGGAAAGGCCAAAAGGACTTTAGCTCCATCTGTCTTTCCCAGTTATTAACTCAGTGGCTGGTCTGTGGTCCCAGACATTTAACTGGAGGAGTAAAAGGCCACACCATCCCCATGATGGCTTCAACCATCCCAGCTTTACCCTTCCCACAGGACTGGGTTGGTCTCCACCCCGTTGGTGTCTATCCCAAACTGGGGCTGTAATTCAGAATGAGAGTCAGGAGGACTGGGGAAGGCAATTCAGGAGAGGGGAGAAGGACTGAAACTGGGAACCAGATTAGGGGGACGAGCCCTGGGCTTGCCAGGAGGGCCATGAGGAGCAGGAAGGTTGGACAAGGAGAAGTTCAACTCATGTAGCAAACAAATAAAGAACCAGCAGTTACCTGGAGATGAGAGGATACAGCTTTTTAGGTCTGCTCATGCTGGCCCCATTGAGAGGGAAAAAGGGAAGATTCCGCTGTTTATAAAGTGTGTAATTGTATGTATAAAGGACTCAAAATAAATTATACTAGATGTATGTGAGTATATATCACACACATAATAATGAAATTCCACAAATGAATATAAAAACGTGTCCTGTGGCTCCACAAAAGTGTGTGCTCTGTACTAGATCGATTTTACTCACTCTGAGGACTCCAAAATGCATGTAAGTCAGTAAAAGCTACAAATGTGTGGCAATTTTAAAGGCTCAGAACACACATGTATACACACCTTGACTTTCAGAATGCACATGACAGCAAACTAAAGGAATTTTTAAGAAGCCAGATCATTCCTTCTGCTTTTTCCAACAAATTTTCAGAAATTACTCAAAGTTAAAAATAAGTGATAGAAAAGGTGTGAGCATATAATTTTTTGGTTGTTTTGTTCTTCTGGGAGCTTCTGATGCTGAAATTTAGATGGGATTTTGTGCTCTCTGGCCACTCGTGTTTAGAGACACAAGCAACTTCGACTTGGCTTTCTGTCATCCTTGCTCCAGCAAGAATCTTGGAGAGTCCTTCTAACATCAATCACTTGGACTATAAATCTTTGCAATAGATATGGCCATTTAAATCTCCACCTGCACAAACAACAATCAGGCCTAGAAAATAAGGAGGCTCATAAATCTCCACGCTGGTGATTAGTAATATTTCGGATCTGCAATAAGGATGCTATAAAGAAAAAAGAAAAGAAAAATAAAAAAGCAATGCTAATTCATTAATTAGGACTGATATGCTGACAATCTGTTTAGTTTATACACAGAGAAAACACAAACAGGTCACAGTTAACATAACATGACGTTAGAAGCTAGGGAATTCCCCAGAGCCCAGGGTTTGGAGATATGATATCTTAATGTACTAATCCTATTGTGAGTGGGAAGGTGTTATCTTCCAGTCAAACGGTGAAGAGCAGGTTTAAAGTTCAGATCTGCCTTTTTTCTTCTGGCTTATGTGAGCCACGGAATCAAGATGGATCAAAAGATAGGAAAGACTTCCTCCTTAGTTATCAAAAATGACACTCCTACCAAAGCTTTAATCTCCAGACAGTACACAGAGCTCGGCAGACTTTTGGCCCTCCATAATTTTTGTTTGTTTTTTGGTTAGTGTATACAGAAAAACCCATGTGATGCTCACACAGGCTCCAGTGACCTTGGATTAACTCCGAAGCCACTGCGTGCCATGGGGACATTTCAGGCTGTACATTTTGGGCCAGAGCTATGTGAATCCTCAAGTAAGCAGCTGAAGAAGTGGAGTTGCTCCTGCAATCAGATCAGTTACTGTGCCCAGAAAGGTTCCATGTGCAGATCGTGCCCAGTCCTTCAGTCCCCAGGTGTTCAAAACCCAGGCTGCTGGGGGATCTGAGAAGTTTCAGGAAGCCTGTGAGGATGGAAGGAGCTATGGGAGCAAATTCATGCTTCACTGACCTCTTTGGGCTCTGCGTGTGGGTTTAGGAGAAGACTTTACGTGGAGAGAAAGAAGAGCCAGACCAAAGTTTACTGCTTTTAAAAGCCAGCTCTGCAGAGACTGAATCCATAAAGATCCTAACTGTGGCACACGTCTGCTCATCCAGGGCAACCAACTCATTCATACCAGTGGAATGGCTGGGGATGTTGGGCCTCAGTGGTTGCAGAGTATGGCCTGATGCCCTCACTCCCAATGCCCCCACCGAAGGGGCCTTATCTTGCCTCGTTATTGAGGCAAAACTCCCCGAGTCTGCACGACTCAGCTACACGGGTGTAGGAGAACGAAGCACTGACCATCTGCTCTGCAGCAACACGCTGAGAGGAGGGATTTTTCTGTGCAATCTCTACCATCCAGTACTTCCCCTCCCTCTTCCTTCATTTCAGCCACGCTGTCCCTCCCCCGGTGGCAACAGTGATCCCCCTCAGCTCTGCCAAACGTCAGGATCCTGGTCCCCTCGAACACACCGTGTGGACCGGGCAGCCTCTGGGATGCTTATGGCTTGGGTGGGGGGGGACTCAAAGAGTGAGAGGGGACCGGGGTTTGTTGAAGGTCACCCAGAAGAAGTCAGATCCTCCTGCCTCCAGCCCCTGGGCTGTGACGGCGAGGTCCACGCTGCCGGCTGGGCGGCGGAGCTCTCTCTTCCTGGAATCCACTAGTAGCTGGACAGGATGCGTTCGCAAATATAATCATTCACAAATCTCCCCCAGATTAGGTTACAGGACAGCGTTTCGACGGCACGCATTACAGAGCTCCCTGGAAGGCTTGGCTGGTGGATCTGCTGCTCGCTCTGCTCATGAACCCATTTTGGCTTTCTTCAAGAATCGTGACACCAGCTGCCCGGGTCATCTAGGAGGCAGGGAGGGGGAGAGTAACCCTGGGCTGGAAAGGGAAGTGGGGAAGGAGAAGAGGAGGAGGAGGAAGGGGGAGGATAGAAAGACAGAGTGGGGAGAGAGAGAGAGAGAGAGGAGAACGAGTTGCTTTGCACCAGTTGTAAAGATTTGAATCCCAGTTCCGAGCTCTCGGCGAGGGTTTGCCGGGATACCTCATTCCCTGTCCTGTGCAAAGGTCTGTGATTGGGGATGTGGTGTGCTCAGCGGGCAGGGCCCCTCCCCTGGGCTGGATCCGCCTCTCTTATCCCCCAGATAAATTACTAGTGTCCTCACTAAATTCCTCAGCTTTCTCTCTCTCTCTCCCCTCTCCCTCTCTCACACACGCTCACTCCCTCCCTCAAACACAGGAAAAGCGGGGTTGGGGGGCGGGAGGGCGGGGAAGGACTGGATACCCCCTCTCTGGACTGGTATCGCGCCGTAGTGCTGGGGTGGGGGGGGGAGGGAAGGGGAGGAAAATACTGGTGCCCCTTCTCTCCTCCGCCGCCTTGAAGTAGATTTTGAGGAGCTGCCCTTCCTTCCCCCCTCCTCCCCCCCCTTCCCGCTGGTCCTTTGGCATCTTCCAGACCATGTCCACCGGGTCCCTCAGTGATGTGGAAGATCTGCAGGAGGTGGAGATGCTGGAGTGCGATGGCCTGAAAATGGATACTAACAAAGAGTTTGGGGCGTCCAACGAGAGCAACGAGGAGGGATCCAATGGCGAGAATGGCTCCCCTCAGAAGGGGAGAGGGGCCTCGGGCAAGAGGAAAAAAGCTCCCCCCAAGAAGAGCCCTTTAAATGGAGTGAGCCAGGAGGGAAAGCAGGTCCAGAGAAACGCTGCCAACGCCAGGGAGAGGGCGAGGATGAGGGTCCTTAGCAAAGCCTTCTCCAGGCTTAAGACCACCCTGCCCTGGGTGCCCCCAGACACCAAGCTTTCCAAACTGGACACCTTGAGGTTGGCCTCCAGCTACATCGCTCACCTGAGGCAGATCCTGGCCAACGACAAGTACGAAAACGGCTACATCCACCCAGTCAACCTGGTAAGTCACGGCCCGCCGGGGCCAGGCACTCCATGGGGGTGGGCATGGGGAGAGCCGGGATGGGGCATGTGTGGGGAGAAACCTCTGCCGCGCTCCTCACAGAGACTCTGGGGTGACAAGGGGTCCTGTGTGTGAGGGGACAGGCTCCCAGCTGCCCTCCCGCCCCGTGTCCCGAAAGCTGAGCCTCCCGGGCCCCATCCGCTGCTCCTGGCAATCCCCTCCAGAGGCCACGTTGGCCACAGATAGACAGGGACGGGCTTTACTGCCCCAGAAATGCCCGAGAAACCTCAGCAGGTTGATGGCACCTTTCTACCTGCAAGCGGGCGGGTGTAGGAATTCGGGTAGAAAAAGGTACGTTTTAGGAAAGACCCAAGCCCAAGAGGACCCAGGATTTACTTTGATCTCTTCTCTCTATCCCAACGCTTCCTGCCATAATAATCCTCGAGCCTTAGCTTTTTAAAAGACAGAGCTCTTGGGGCTCTGCGCTCAGCCGCTCGGGTCCAGGACGTTTCTCCTACCCATGTAAACTGATAAAAAAGAAATAAATACCAGTGTGGACTCCCCAGGGAGGAGGTCCACCCCAGGGACACCCCACCGGGCTGCACCGTGTCCCTCTTGCTGGTCCCACCACCCACAGAAAGTCTCCCCAAGCAGCCCGGGGTCTCCTCGCCGTACCCAGCCATCAGAAACATCCCGCTTCCAGCTCTAAAAATATGCGTAATCGATGCAAACCAGGGGTGGGCAAGACCCGTCTGGGCTCTTTTTAGACACACAGCCTTTACATTGCCCACACCTCCGGACCCTGCTGGATAAAGGGATGGCAAGAGGGGATCTGGAGATGTTTCACTGGAGGTCTGGCTCTGCTTTTTGAGCTCTGGACTCCGGGGGGAAAAGTACATTACCCGCTGTGTCAGCTGATAAGGGCCTGGGAGATAGTTTTTTGGCTAAAACCAAAATCCTCAGCAAAACAAGATGGGAAAAAAAAAAAAAGAAGTAAACCAAAACCAACACCCAATCCAGATATAAGCTCTCCCCACACACACAGGCACACCGAAATTTGTCCCCCCCCGAGCCACGGGAGGCCGGGGAAGGTGGCTGGGGGGGGGGGCTGCGGCGGGGGGGGGGGGGGG